GGTCCAGGTGTTGACACAAGGACTGTACCACCTGTAGGGACGGTCCAGATGTTGACACAAGGACTGTACCACCTTTGCTTTAGCTTTTAGTTACCTTTTGTAGTCATTTTAGTTTGATGGTACTAATCTGCCCAATTAACTTTCAGCTGCTAAATTTACCTGTAGTTATTGTTGCAGTAATTTTAGATTTTAGCTACAGTTTTGCCAAATTCACTTTCTAGCTACTGTTTTGCAACTTTTAGCTTCTGTTCAGCTCATTTAGCTTTTAGGTGATATTTTGTTATTTTACATTTTAGCTCTTTTTATGCAAAACTTAGGTTGGAACTATTTTGTTGCTGAAATGAAAATGAGCAAATTTGTTGATTTAAATTTTTAATCATCGGCACACTAAATTCTGTTTTAAGCTTTTTTTATAATTTTCACTATTAACTACCATTTTGTCTCTTTTTGCTTCTGTTCTACTTGTTCTAGCTTCAAAACTGTTTCAGCTTCTTTACAAAATTTCAGCTCTTTCAGCTGTCATTTAGCTGTAACCTTGTAGTTGATATAATTTCTTTAGCTGTTTTGGTTTTTGTTCTAGTTGTTGCAGCCAGACAGCCTCTGCCAAGACTACCTCAAACTCTGTGAGCTGGTACTGAACTACAAGACCGGTACCACCACCATCACATGACGTGACTCGGTTCTCAGCCGAGACCAGAACCCTGCGATCCACAGACGTACCTTCACGATGCCATTGACCAGTGGTTCTACCACAGCCTTAATGTAACCATTGCTGGTGATCATGAAGAGCGTGTACTGGAAGTATCCGGCCGGTCCACAGTGGGTGTGGGTCCCACTCAGAACCACGTTGTCCCGCCGGTACAAAGTCCCGTACTTCTCCTTCAGGGCCCTCAGAACCTGAACACAACCAAATGGACCTGCTTTTAAACTTAAACCGGTCTGAACCAAAAGAACATGAAGCTAACCCAGACAGTGGTGTTAAAAGTTAATAACGCCTTTATTAGGTGGAATAAGTGTTAATAAGATAATCGGAAACACTGCTATTAAAATTCAAATGTGTGTGTGTGTGTGTGTGTGTGTGTGTGTGTGTGTGCGTGTGTTGACCTCCAGTCTCAGCCTTTGAGAGATCATCCCAATGTCTGCAGTGACGAAGACGACTCTCTGATTTCCATCATCGACGATGAAGGCTCGGCTGTACAGACGTGTGTGAATGCCTGCAGCCTTCTGCTGAGGGTTTGCATAACCCATCTGGACACACACACACACACACACACACACACACACACACACACACACACACACACACACACACAGAGAGGCTTGTCTTACTATCTTTACGTGAACTTTGCATTGACTTCCATTCATTTTTCATTAATTTCTATAGCCTAACCCTGACCCTTACCCTAAACCTAATCATTACCAGCACATACCTAACCCTAAAGTCAAACTAATGAAATAAACTAAATAAATAAATAAACTACCAAAGTCAAACTAATAAAGCTGCCAGACATAAACTCTGAAGGTTTTGGATCTGACCAGAGGGATTTCAGCTGGAGGTCCGGTGCAGTCGGCTCGACCCACTCCGATCAGGTAAGGTGGGTTCTGGGGATCTGGATCTGACCCTGGATCAGATAGGAAACTGGGTTTAAAGGACTAAATGACACATGAATCTTAATCATTATTCTGTATTTCAGGAAAAATTCAGAAAAACATAAAAAAATCTGAATCAAAATTAAAAAAAAACAGAGGTTTGGTCAAAAGTTTTAAAGGTCAAGTCTGGCACCACAGAGAGGTGAGACAACAAACATCCATCCATCCATCCATCATCTTTTACCCGCTTCTTCCATTTTGGGTCACGGGGGTCGCCGGTGCCCATGTCCAGCAATCACTGTGTGAGGGGCGGAGGCAAGTCCATCACTCTAACTCTCTCACTCCTTCACTCTCACACTCTCACCTAGGGACAATTTAGAGTTACCAATCAGCCTAACATGCATGTTTTTGGTGTATGGGAGAAAACTGGAGTACCCGGAGAAAACCCACGCAGCACAGAGAGAACATACAAATTCCACCCAGAAAGGCCCCCGGACCGGGATTTGAGCCAGGGACCTGCTCACTGAGAGGCAGCAGCTCTACCAGTTGTCCCACCGTGCTGCCTAGACAACAAACAGTAAATTAAAAAAAAATAATAGTCAGTTTGTCTGGTGACAGGCCAGACAAAGAGCAATTCGGAAGACTTATATGGACAAACAACAACAAAAAGCTCAGTGTCCCTTGACCAGATGTGGGTTACGGGGCCCCACCCTGGAGCCAGGTCTGGAGGAGGAGCTTGTTGGAAAGCACCTGGTGACCGGGCCTCTACCCATGGGGCCCAGTCATGCTCAGCCCAAACAAGCAACATGGGCTTGCCTTCCTGTGGGCCCACCACCTGCAGGAGGGGCCGTACAAGTAGAGTGCATGACACTATGGGCAGTGGGCGAAGGTGGGGCCTTGTCGCTCTGACCCTGGCTTTCCAAAGCTGGCTCTTGGCACATGAAATGTGACCTCTCTGGCAGGGAAGGAGCCTGAGCTTGTGCACAAGGTTGCGAGGTACCGACTAAATATTGGTGGGCTCACCTCGATGTACAGCATGGGCTCTGGAACCGATCTCCTGGAGAGGGGATGGACCTTATTCCACTCTGGAGTTACCCAAGATGAGAGGTGCCGAGCTAGTGTGGGCCTACTTTTAGCCACCTGACTTGGTGACTGTGTGTTGGAGTTTTCTCCAGTAGATGAAAGAGGTGCCGAGCTAGTGTGGGCCTACTTTTAGCCACCTGACATGGTGACTGTGTGTTGGAGTTTTCTCCAGTAGATGAAAGAATAGCTTCCCTGTGCCTTCAGGTTGGGGGATAGGCTCTGACTGGTGTTTGTGCCTACACACCAAACAGCAGGTCAGAGTATCCAGGCTTCTTGGAGTCCTTGGTGGGGGTGCTGGAAGGTGTGCCAGCTGGGGCCTCCTTTATTCTGCTGGGGGACTTCAATGCCCATGTGGGATAATGAGAGTGTGACCTGGTGGGGCATGATTGGGAGGAACGGCCTCTCTAATCTGAATTCGAGTGGTGTTTTCTTAATTGGACTTCTGTGCTAGTCATAGATTGTTCATCACGAACACCATGTTTGAACTTAAGGGTGCACGTGGCACCAGGATGCCCTAGGTCATAGATCAATGACTGACTTTGTAGTTGTGTCATTTGATTTGCAGCCATTTGTTTTGGACACTTGAGTGAATAGAGGAGCTGAACTGTCAACTGATCACCACCTGGTATTGTGTTGGATCAGATGCTAGACAGAACTGGTAGACCCAAACGTGTAGTGATAATATGCTGGGAACGCTTGGCAGAAGAACATGTCTGAAAGATCATCAACTCACACTTCCAGGAGAGCTTTAACCACATCCCAGCTGAGGCCGGGGACACTGAGTCCAAGTGGGTCATGTTCCATGCCTCAATTGTTGAGGTAGCTGTCTTGAGCTGATGCCGAAAAGTTGTTGGTTCTTCTCGTGGTGGTCATCCTCGAACTCGGTGGTGGACACCCTGGGTTAGGGAAGCTGTCAAGCTGAAGAAGGAGTCCTATCAGGTCTTGTTGGCTGGTGGGACTCCGTGGACAGCTGAGGATTATCAGAGGGCCAAGTGGTCCGCAGCCTTGTTTGTTGCTGAGGCAGAAGCTCATATGTGGGAGTAGTTCACTGAGATCTTGGATAGAAACTCTCGGTCGGCTCCGAAGAGATTCTGACAAACCATCGGGCGGCTGAGGAAGGAAAAGCAGTGCTTTTTCTAACTGTGTTCAGTGAAGGTGAGGTGCTGTTAACCTCAACCAATGATGTCATCAGGAGGTGGAAGGAATATTTCTCTAACCTTATCAATCCCACCGGCATGTTTTCCAAGGAGGAAGCTGAGGGGGAAATTCAGGGTTCGTCTGTCCATAACTGTGGCTGAGGTCGCCGAGATAGTTTTAAAGCTTGTAACAACAGGGCTGCTGAGGTGGATAAGATTTGCCCTGATTTCCTTAAGGCTCTGGGTGTTTTGGGGCTGTCTTGGTTGGCACGCCTTTGGAACATTGCAAGGACATCGGGGCAGTGCCACTGGATTCAGACTGGGGTGGTAGTTCCCCTCTTCAAAAAGGGTAAAGAGCTGAACCTATGTTCCACAGCCAGGACGGAACCTGCATTGTTCTTCCAGGATCTGAGGGTCAGCCTTCGGACTCAATTCTCCTTTACCCTTGAGACCTTATCAGGGAGGCTAAGGAGAGTGATGCCCCTATAATTGGAGCACACCCTCCAGTGGGTCATGGAAGTTTGCCCATCCAGTCTACATGTGTTTTGTGGACTTGGAGAAGGCTTTCAACCATGTTCCTCGAGGTACACCGTGGGGGGTGCTTTGTGAATATGGGATTGGGGGCCCATTGCTATGGGCTGTTTGGTCCCTATACTAGCAATGCAAGAGTTTGGTTCTCATTGCCGGTAGTAAGTCAGACCCCTTCAGGGTGGGAGTTGGACTCCACCAGGGCTGCTTGTTGTCACCGATTCTGTTAATAACTTTTGTGGACAGAATGCCTCAGTACAGCCAGGGGGCAGAGGGATTCCAGTTCGGTAGCCTCAGGATTCCATCTCTGCTATTTACGGATGATGTGGTCCTGTTGGCATCATCGTGATCTACAGCTCTCCCTGGAGTGGTTCACAGCTGAATGTGAAGCCTGTAAAATGAGACTCAGCACCTCCAAATCTGAGGCCATGGTCCTTAACCGGAAAAGGGTGGATTGCTCGCTTCAGGTCGAGGGTGAGGTTCTGCCTCAAGTAGAGGAGTTCAAATATTTTGGAGTTCTTTTCTTGAGTGAGGGAAGAATGGATTGTGAGATTAACGGACGGATTGGGGCAGTGTCTGTAGTACTGCAGACTCAGTGCTGGTCCATTGTGGTGAAGAGGGAGCTGAGCTGCAAGGCAAAGTTCTCTGTTTAATGGTCTACATTTCTACCCTCACCTATGATCACGAGATCTGAGTAGTGACCAAAAAATGAGATCATGGATGCAGTCAGTTGAAATGAGTTTCCTCCTAGAATCTCTCTTACAGATAGGGTTAGAAGTTCAGTTATCTTGGAGAGACTCACCATCCAGCATCCATCATAAATTCATCATCATCCATCCATCATCAATCATTCAACATCCTTCATCCAACACCCTTCATCCAACATCCATCATCCAACATCTATCATCCAACATCTATCGTCCAACATCCATCTACTGTACAAAGTCAAAAGTCAAAGTTAAAGTTTCTTTATTTGTCTAAAAAAGTTAAATCTGGTCCTCTGGGCATTCAAAAAACAAAACAAAGCAACACAACAACAAAAAAAATATAGAAATGTTTCGTCTTTCATCAAAGACTTCCTCAGTCTGAGGTGCTGTATTCAGCTCAGTCTTAAGACTGAGCTCCTGGTGAAAGACATGATTTCCAGTGTTCCTCTCAGAGAGGAAGAGACTGGTTTTTACTCCCAGTACTTTCTGGTTCCAAAAAACCAGGAGGTTAAAGACCCATTCTGGATCTGTCCTCCTTCAACAAACATACTGTATTATGGAATGGCCATTTCATATGTTGACAATAAAACGAGTACTCAAATGCGTCAAGCAGAACGGTTGGTTTATCTCAGTGGACTTGAAAGATGCTTACTTTCAAATCCCAAGAAAAAAGAAACACAGGAGTTTCCTGCATTTTTTCTTCCAGGGAGTTCAATACAACTGCCTCCCTTTTGGTTACTCGCTCGCCCCGTGCATGTTTGCAAAATACGTGGAAACGGCATTACAGCCTCTGCGCATGGCAGGGATGAGGGTCCTCTTTTACCTGGACAACCTTCTCCTTCTGACCCAGTCCAGAGAGGAAGCAGAAACACAAACAAGGTTTCTGGTGTCGCATCTGTCTCATTTGGGTTTCACGATAAACTGGGAGAAAAGCTCGACGGCTCCCTCTCAGTTCCACTTTTCTGGGGGTGGACCTAAACTCAGTCACCATGACAGCCCTCCTGTCACAGCAGTGACATGGTTTCGGGTGAACCCGGTGAGGCATAGACTACATCCTGCTTTGTTCTTTATCCCACCAGTGGCAGCTGCCCATACGACATGGAACGCTGGTTACGTAATGTAACCCCAGATTCTATGAGTACGGGTGCAGCCCTTTAAGATCTGGGCCTCACTGGCTCCTAATGGCTGAAGAAAAGTACGCTATTTAGGAGCAGATCTACAGACCCGACGCAATTTATACGGTCTAGAAGTGTGGCCCACACAGTGGGTGGGTGTGGACTAGAGGTTTTCCAGTGTTGGCACGCTGCGCGTGGGGTGAGACCTGTCAGTGGCAGCTCTTAAAGGCCTGCGCCCACTTATAGAATCTGGGGTTTACAGTAACAACCGTTTTTGGTCTGTGGGAGGAAACCAGAGTACCCGGAGAAAACCCACGCAGCACGGAGAGAACATGCAGACTCCATCCACAAAGATCCCCAGCTGGGATTTGAACCGGTGACCTGCTTGCTGAGAAGCGACAACTCTACCAACTGATCCACCGTTCCACCCAGACCTTATTTAAATTCAGGATTTGTTTTATTTTATTTTTATATCACTCTGACAGAACCCTTGTGAACTGTTTCATGGAAATAAACTGGATGTTTTGTTGTGTTTCACCTGTGTGAGTCGTCGGGGTGAGCATCAGAGCCATCAGCGTTATGCAGACCATCGTCATGACGACGAGGAGGACAGCAAGTGCGACTTTAACAGCAGAAACGCCACAACACTTCCTGTCGGCCATGATGCCTGAAGAACAAACACTCGTTCATCTCACGTCTTCCAGATGTTTTTCTTTTGTTTTTATTAAAATAAATCCAAGAAAATGTTCAGAAATGTGGATTTCAGAATCAAAACAAACCCAGATTAGAATCTTCTTAACATTTTTATCTTCTTCAGAGATTTAAACTTTAATACAAAATCTGTTTAATCTGATTTTTCATTCTGACCAAGTTCAATTAAAAACAACAATTTATTCTCCTCAAACACAAACTAAACAAACGGTTTCATTTTTAGGTGTTTAATAATGACAAATAATAAATTCCAGATCAAAGCTCAGGAACCAGAACCAGGTCCAGATCAAAGCTCAGGAACCAGAACCAGGTCCAGATCCAACCCTCATCAGCTGGGTCTAACACAGAGGTTCTCAAACTGCGGCTCTGGGGCTACACGAGGCCCTTCAGAGCCTCTGCAGGTCCAACATGGTCCGTTGGGCCGGCTGCAAAGACATCTGAGCCCACATGGCGGTTCTGATCATTCAGATTCGACTCCACGGTTCTGAGGAGACTTGCAGCTGTTCACAGAAGGAAACGTGTTTGGATCGTTCTTAAGTTGTTCCATCAGAACTGTAGTGAACTTAACCTGATGTCAAGACTAAGCCTAAGGTCAAAACCCTTGACCTTAAGAACCTTGTGGGACAGAAACTGTCATTTCATTGATTTGAATCCAGAAATACAGGTTCACCCATCCTGAGACTCTCTTTCTTGAAAATCAAGTGGAAGAACACTCTCTTTTTATTATCATTACTATTTTACAAATGTTGATAATCAAAGTGTCTTAGTTCAAACCATTTTAGATGTTGCAGTGAACTAATCAATTTTATTAACTGTAGAACAGTAATAATGATTTTTAATGCTTATGCAGAGTTAGAATTCATGTTAAGGTCTGTTACAGATTTTTATGCATTTTCTGATTTCTGTCTTTGAATGAGCAAGTGTGCGTTTTCCAAGGTCAGGAGTCGAAGCAGACATGTGTTGGAACAACTGTCTTGTTTACATCCTCTCAGACGTAGAGCTGGCACCTGTTTCTAAAACTCGCCAAAACAAAACTCTCTCTCTGTCTCTGAGAACAGTCTAACCTGTTCCATAACAATTCTTGCTTTTTTCTGACTCCTAGTAACCTCTGACATCACAAAACACACCCCTGTCTGGTTGATATTACCCAATAAGGGACGCTCAAATATACCGGAAATAGAGCTCTTTAAAATGCCGGTACTTCCTAGTTCTCTGAGTTCAGTTCTGCGCGGAGAAGTTCAGTTCGGTGAAGCTTCTGAGCAGTTCGGTTCTGCGCTGAGAAGTCGTTTGGGAGAACAGAAGTCCAGCATGATAAGGCTCCTCCGAGTTGGATTATAATATCCTCCACCTCTGAGTGGAACTTCTGAAGGACTCCACTCATGTGAAGTCCACTTGCTGATGTGAGCTGGTGTCGGACGGAATCTCGTCACTACTTCGGACGAGTCACAGCCATCCTATGGAGACGCTGGACAGGTAGCATTAACTGGACCTCCATATCTGCTGATTAATCTTCAGAAAGGTAATGAGTCAAGTTTCCTACCGAAGCGTACCGAGGAAAAGCTGGGTTCTGATGGAGAGTGTCGGTTCTGGTGAACACTTCCCCTCACATACCATCTTTTACTCCCTTTAACTTCATTCCCATCTTTAAATTCTTCTCTAAAGTAGAAATCCTTCCAGATATTTTAGAAATGTCTGTGTAAAGTGCTCATCCACCGCCGTGTGGATAATTGATCATAATTGTACAGTTTTCAGAAATGTCTGTGGTGAAGCAACGGAAAATCATGGCCGTATGGTTTTCCTGATTGTAAAGCTGATTGCTTATGTTGTTATTTTCATATTTTGCCAAATTAATGTAAATGTTGATGTTAAACTTTGATTCTGTAAAATAAATGACCGCATTCATTTTGATGGGTCAAAGATAAATGACGTCTCACGTTTGCACTTCATTAAATTCAATGCACGTTTTATTCAGTCCAGAAAAATGAGGAATCCGTTTTAATTGATGAATATATCTCAGCATCTGTTCATCTACAGAACCAACTGTTAGGTCCAGTATCTCTGGGGCAGAACGTGCCTCCTGGAACTGAAAGTGAAATGAACTGTAGTTTGGATCATGTACCAACCCGGTCCGACCCGGTTTAAATTCAGCATCAGAACAGGATGTCATAATAAAAATTTGAATGAAAGTTTATTTTTTTGTTTTCAGAACTTCAGGGAGCAGATTTATTGTCTTTTATTGGACCTTACGAGTCCAGAAGGTTCTGTCTGACTCTGAACCAGAACCTTTCATCTGGCAGAACAACAACATGCAGATCAGTCCAGATCCTGTGGTTCTGTCTGATTCTGCTGGAACTTTAGTTAAGAGATGATGAAAATGGGTTCTGAAGACACAAAACTCTGACCCGAAGTGGTTTCCAAAAAACACAGACAAACAGAACCCGATAGAACCACAGACAGAACCACAGACAGAACCAGATAGAAGCACAGAACCACCCCTGGCTGAAGAACCTGGGGGAACCTTCAGACTCACCTCCAGCTGCAGCAGGTCTGAGCAGAATGTCTCTGAAGATCCAGGGAGTGTTTTACAGCTCAGAACCTGAACGGGTCAGTTCTTATCGCCTGTTCCACACTATCTGCAGGTACCAAAGGTCGAGGTTCTGATAACTGATCTCTGACAGTGAAGACGTTCTCAGGTTTGTTTTGGTGTTTTACTCAGAACCTTTAGACAAAATGTTCTGAAGGTTCTGTTGGTGGTCCAGTGTGGAGATGGTCAGTTCTTTAACAGGAACAGAACCTCATCTGGACCAGGTTCCTCATACGACCTGAGCCTAAATATTGAGGTACGGTTTGTGAACCCCATGTTAGAACCTCTCCAGGTCTGGTCCAAGAACTTTGGACGGTTCTGAACTGGACCTGCACTAAAAACATGATGGGTTCTGTCAAATATGAAGACCTCACCGGACCCTGAGGTCAGAACCCGACCTGTTTATCTTCGTGCCACTTGAAAAATGTTTGTTTGTTGCTTTGCTGTTTATTTATTTATTGTTTGTTTCTGTTTGTTTGTTTTCTGTTTAATTTCTGTTTGTTCAGCGAGGACCCTCACCAGTACGCATACCGCGAGAACCGATCAACAGAGGACGCCCATCACCCTTTGGAGCACAAGTTAGGAGTCATCAGGACTCTGTACCACAGAGCAGACAGTGTCCCCACTAGCTCAGGAGCCAGGCAGAAGGAGAAATCCCACACAAGACAGGCTCCCATGCAGACTCTTTTCCTCCTCTCTCCCCTCATTCAGCCTCCTCCTCTCAGCGGACGGTGAAAAAAAGGATGCTGGGGACAGGTACTTGGACACTCTTGATGGTAAGGCGATCTTTAGATATTCATCCAAAAGATGCCAAACCCACTCGAACTTCACCAGGATGAACCTGCAGTTAGGACACCCGTCCTGCTCGGGGGCTCTTCCCCTCATTCGTCAGCCCCGTCAGCCCCCAGGAGAGCGATGAAGATGAGCTTCCTTCTTAGCGTCACTCGTTTTTACTCACCGGCTCAACTCACACGTCCTCTCCACCCAGCCACAGACTCGGGTCGGTGTGGGAGTGACTCCAAGATCTCCATGGGTCCACGCAGAACTTTTCTCTCTGCAGTCGACAGCAGGAGAGACCTGCTTCTTTTCATGCACAACACAAACCGTTCGTGTGCGGCTGCATTCATGTCAGATGACAAAATGAATGTACCGCTTAATCACCAGGGGCCATACACTGCAGTTTGCAGGTGCTTCCCCGAGGTTCAGCGAGGTTCTGGAAACCCAGTTAACATCCCTAGAACAGGGCCAGGTTTTACAGACCGAATCGGTGAAGCTTCTGAGGAAAGACATTTTCCAAAGCCCCTCCTGGGGAGGAAGAAACCAGTTTTTATTCTCGGTACTTCCTGGTTCTGAAAATGTCAGGAGGTCCGAGGCCTATTCTGGACCTGTCCTCTTTCAGCAATCATATTATGGAGCAATCGTTTCATATGTTGACAATAAAACGTGTGCTCAAATGCATCAGGCAGGGGATTGGTTTGCCTCAGTGGATTTGAAAGATACATATTTTCATATCAAGCCTTTTGTCCCTAATGACGTCACTCTGCCCAGGGGAACCCCTCTCAGCAGGTTGTAAGAGTTTCCCCAGTGTCTCAGGTCCACCCCTACCGACAGAGGAGCGGTACTCATTCAGGGCTTGTGGTGAGAGGGGTCGAGATGATGGCGATTGAACCATCTCTGAAGCCTCCTTGTGGATTAAACCTAGCGGGATGACAGTGTGAGCTATTGACATCATCCTTAGCAGCCGCATGAATGTCAGTCACCGGTTTGTGGACCCTGACTCATTGGAGCAATGACGTCAGGGATTCCTTCCTCTGGTGTGATAGGCGAGCTGTCATGGTGATTAAATTTTGGTCCACTCCCAGAAAAGTGATGAATTGAGTCGGGACCGTCAAGCTTTTTCTCCCAGATAATTGTGAAAACCCAGATGAGACAAGTGCGACAACTGAGTGGTTGTCTGGGTCTCCACTTTATCTCTGGACTGGGATAGAGGAGTCGTTCCCTGAACCATGGAGTATAGTGGCAGAATGTGAAGCTGTCTTTGAGTCACGAAGGCGCTCTGGCTTTGAACTGGTTTTCTCTCGCTATCCATAATAATCCCTTGGTCAGGATTGACACCAAGTTTCCAACTGTAGCCAATCTGAGAACTCTATGAGGTCATAAACTGCATATGAGCGGCGGCACGTGTGCCTTCTGAACTCAGACCTCATCTTAGTGGGTAGTTTACTGAGAAGGCATGACACATGAGATCCACATCTGAGCTCCATCTCTCCTTCTTGGCCTAAGGTCTTCAGCATACCCACCGGAGCTCAAATCTGAAGTGCAAATCTTTTAACGGCATCTGAATCTCCACGTCTGAGGTCTGGAAAGTCCATAACATTTGCAATCTTTTGAAGAGCCAGTTGGTGGGGTTGGCCAAACTTCTCTAACAGAGCTGCTACTGTGTCACTGTAAGGTGCTTGAGAGTTGAAGTAGGCATCAGCTATGAGATGTGCATCTTCTAGTTTTAAATGGTCCATTAAAACCTGGAACTTAAACATCTCTGTACTGTCTTGAGGAAGCAGGTTATCCAGAGATTTTAAGATGAGCAAATTCACCTGGATTCCTTCTGGTAATGTTAGGTATAGAAGGCAGTGGACCCCTGTAGGTTCTCTCCTGTGTGCAGGCAGGTGACAGCTGAGGCTGAGCTTGTGGGGCTTGACTTGCGTAGTTGAGAGGTTCATTGTACATTGGTAGTATGGCTGGCCTTGCCACATGTGCATTTGTGGTTGGATGGCTATATGTTGGATTACTGTAACCATAGGAAGGAAGTAGCCTTAAAGGTGATGAGCTTCTCTCAGGTTCTCTGCTGCTTATTCCCGTAGGTGGAAGTGGATGTGATGCTGAAATTGTCTGCTCCTTTAATAAACTCAGTTCAGCCATCAAACTATCCAGCTTATCAATTGTGCTAGCTTCCCTGTTGTAGGTGAGCTGAACTGTAGGATCCAGACGTTATAACCTCGGATGATCATGGGTTTTTTCAAATTGCTGTGCAGTATCACGTTGGAGTTGACGTCTAGGAGGAAGTGGAAGATAGTTCCCATAATATGGACCTTGACGGGCATAGGGAAGTTGCCTTGGATCCAAACTTGGTGACTGACAAGTAGAGGTGACTTCCCATGGTCTAGAGTTGTGAGGAAGATATTGATCCACCTGCACTCTCTGGAGGTCGCTGCACTGGTTGAGGGGTCAGCTCTGGGTTCATCTCATCAATCATGGAAGCAGTCCACTCATCTAAAGTATAGTCACACCTCGCTTGGCTTATAGGACTGGCACTACGGCATCCTTATGTTCGAGGAAGATATCAATCCGGCTCGAAGGACCAAATGTTCAATAGCAATGACTTTTAGGTTCAAACTGTATGATGATTCTGATATTGATATCCACCTTGGGGTGCCGGTAAGGAGCACAGACAGGATGCTTGAAGATCTTTGGGTTCTTCAATTATGAACAGATGACATAAGCAGCCTTCACTTTACATATGTCTGAGTATGTGAGGGTGTGTGGTCTGTAAAAGAAGATATAAAACAAAATCAGAAATGCATGCCGTCTATATTAATAAACTACTTTGGATATCTACTTTCAACCTTTGCATCTACACAGTGTGACTAACATTATAACCAAAGCTTAAACACTCATAACTTTGATGCTTAACAGAGTTTACAAAGCAAACACTGCACTAGGGTGTGGTTAGCATTAGCAAGTTGCCCCTAGCAATAAACAGCCTTGAATGAACAACCAATAATATCAAACTCGAGCTAAACATGGCATATCTACAGTGACAAAACACATGACAATTGTCTATGCAGCTATTTTTATGTTAAACTTACATTTTGTCATCTAGTACGCACACAACTTGAGATGCTTCTGCTGCTCAACATGGCCGACTCTAAGTCAGACTAATTAAAGTGTTGAGCATTTCTAAAGATGCACTTACCAACATTCACCACTAGATGTCTCTTGACACCATAATTCAGGTCGTTTTCACACCGGATAGTCCGGTAGACTCGGTTCGGGACCAATATTCATGGCCTTTTGTTACATTTGAGCTGGTGCGTTTGCGTTCACACTGCACTGTGCAGTCAAGTCAACCTGTTGAACCAACCTGTTCCCCCCCTCACCTGTGGGGGCGCTGCACCAAGAACTACCGAAAGAAACGACACAAAAACCTCTGAAGACACGTCTTCTTCTTCTTCTGGAAATAAAAATAAAAACGAAGTGGCATCAAGTTTTATCAGTTTTAGGAGTTCTATTTTGTCATTTTCAACAATGGACTCAGCATGAGCAGAAGATGAGACAGAAGACCATGGAGAATATTGTTCTTCACACAAGTCAGCTGACGGCTCCATATAAGAGAAATGTGTGTTTGTTTGTCCTGTGGAGCTGGTCCGGTCTGTTTACATTCACACTGTACTGGAACCGTGCTGGAGTTCTCTTCTACCGGACCGAGTCCTAGGTTTTAGCCCGGGCCAGAGTTCACCTTTTTGTTCCGTGACAGAGTTCGATGGTGCGTTCACACCTCCCTAAACGAACCGGACTTTCTAGGAAAACGAGCTAGAGTTGGATTAAAGCGACTAAACGGGGCTGGTGTGAATGCACCCTCAAACTAAATTTCTCAGCGCTACAACTCACTGCCCTTCTAACAAGTCCTGTTAGACCTCAGTGCTGCATTTGATATAATTGATCATTGTATTCAACTTGTCTGCTGGCCTCCTCCTTAGATAGAGAACTTTACTAATTGGCTTTTATGTATGTGAATGTTTCTGTAAAGTGCCCTGAGACAACTTTGTTGTGATTTGGCGCTATATAAATAAACTGAATTGAATTGAATATTCAATTACAGAGATTTGAATATGATGTTGGAACAGATCTAAATTGGTTTAAATCATATCTATCTGATAGATTCCTGTTTGTAAATTTAAACAATGAATCTTCTTCATACACCAAAGTTAGTTATGGAGTTCCTCAGGGCTCAGTGCTTGGACCAATACTCTTTACTTTATATATGCTTCCATTAGGTAAAGTTATTAAACAGCATGTGATAAATTTCCATTGTTATGCTGATGACACACAGTTATATTTGTCCATTAAACCCAATGACTCCAATCAGCTACTTAGACTACAAGCATGTCTTAAAGACATAAAAACCTGGATGACCCTTAATTTTCTCCTGTTGAACAGACAAGACTGAGGTTTTGGTTTTTGGACCTGAGCACCTTAGGAATGAATGTTTCAGTCTTTCTCCCTCCTTAGATGCATTAATCTGTCCTCCAGCTCTAATGTTAAAAATCTTGGTGTTATTTTTGATCAGGACATGTCTTTTATCCCCCACATTAAAAACGTTACTAGAACCTCCTTCTTCCACCTGCGTAATATCACTAACATTAGAAACATCTGATCTAAAGATGATGCAGAAAAACTGGTCCATGCATTTGTCACGTCTAGACTGGACTATTGCAATGGTTTATTATCTGGGTGTCCAAATACTTCTTTAAAACGTCTTCAGTTGATCCAAAATGCTGCTGCCAGAGTCTTAACTGGAGTTACTGGGAGATATCAGATCTCTCCAGTTTTAGCTTCTCTCCATTGGCTCCCTGTCAAATCCAGAATAGGTATCATCTCAGTTTACTCTTTGTTCGCTGTGAGTGACGAGCGTCATGAAAACATCAGCGGCGGTGTCGGAGTTTATTCATCGTCTCAGCAGCTGAGGGAGGGACGCCGCACGGCTCCCACACGACAGATTTGTTCAGAACTTTATTATTAGTCAACCTGAGAGTTGCCAGATCCAAGCAAACAGTTGCTGGAACGCACCCTGACAAAATAAAGAGTTCCTGGATCTTGGTCTGGCAGGATCTGGTTCAGTCATTGAAACGTGCAACAGTAGGCCATAGTCTGTGTTTTTATTTTATTTAAACCTTTATTTTACCAGGAAATAAATCCAGAGATTATTAATCTCTTACAAGGATGTCCTGGAACTACAGGAAAACGTAACTTCAAACGTCCAACTTCCTGTTGGACCTCAGAAGAGAAGTTGAAGGATGTTGGAGCTGCTTCAGTCCCTTTGGCCCATTTTGTAACCCGGCTGGAAATTTTCATAAAGTCTGCCAGGATAACATGTCGGGTCAGGCTGGGCCCGGTCTGGTTCTTGTAGGATCAGTTTATAGGTCTAAGTTCGGTTCCCCATCAGAACATTTGAAACAAACCCAAAGTTGTAAAAAGAGTCTTTATTATGAAACATTTTGCTTCAGGTCACAGAAAAGAAACAATTTATTCACATTTTATATCAAATTAAATTAAACCTAAAGAGTTAAACTGAGACAAACATGTTGAAGACCTCCGATTAACAGAATATTTTAAAACCCGTTCAGAACCGTTACGTCCAGTAGAATCATTTTCCTTCAAAGGTTCTGCTCAGCTAAATCAGACCCCCACCCCCTCCAACAAAGAGGATGTTTTATTGTGAAAGGACAAGTTCAAATCAGACTTCCTGCAGGTCCCGAGTCAGTTTCACCTGGTTCTGACCCACTCAGACCTGATAAGCTCCAAACCGAAATTTAAAACTATCAACAGATTCTTTTCACGTCAGAACCGCCAGGGTCCGTTTCCACAGCAAACAGTCCATCAAAATCCACTCACAGTTCTGAGTCTGCTGGTTCACGCCGACCTGGTTCTGATCACGTCAGGCACCCCGTGAACCCTGAAGCGGTACATGCAGGTGTAGTCCGGGTGGCCCCAGTTGGACAGAACCTGGACCTCGATGATCTGGAAGGACTCGTCGTTCTCCTCCTGAAACAGAAACAAGTTCTGGATAGAAGCGACCCGCTTTCTGTCCCACCGGGTCAGACTTTTGTATAAATTCAGCTGAACTGGACCAGCTTTGACCCTGAAGGTTATTTTTAAAAACAGGAAATTTAATTTATCCTTGATAGTCTTCATCAGCAGCTCAGACGAGTTTTCATCTGTAACTTTCAGGTTTTTACAGAAAATTACGATTCAAATTTACAAGAATTATAAAAAACAAATATAAAAATTATAAAAACAAAAATCCAAATCATTAAAAACCTCCAACGGACCAGATTCAGGAGCAATAACTGGATTCTGTCATCACTTCCTCTGGAGAGAACCAGTGCATGATGGGAGTTGTAGTTTAGCATTCAGACGGTTTATTTTGTTCCATTTTTTTAAACATCACCTCAACTGACTTTCAGCCGTTTTATCTGCTGAAGCCTAAAAACCTTCGGCTCATTCAGGAGACGGCTGATGTTTGCTTTAAGTAACTTTGAGACTTTATAGTTTTTAAATTTGGTTTCATTTAAAAGACCAAGGATTTTTAAATTTGAGCTCCTTGAAGCTTTTAGTTACTCCTGTGCTGATTGTAGTTCCGTTTGTTCGTTAACGTCCGTCAGTTCTCCAGAACTTTAAAGAAAAGCTGATAAATTAAGATTGAAGTTTCTGGAGTCCAGATGGAAGCTCTGGACCTGTTAAAGACCCTGTAGGAGTGAGCAGAACCCTGCTCTGCAGCCCAGACTCACAGACAGGCTGAAGGTCTGCAGATCCTCTCCGTCCTGATCGTAGGTGAACATTCCCAGCAGTTTCCCGTTCTCTTCGCTCTCATCGCTCAGACCCTGGAAACAAACATCACAATTGGACAAACCCAACGCCATGGTTCTGACCCGTGGCGGCACTCTCTTACGTAGACACTGAAGTCTCGGGGCGCGCTGCGCAGAATCCCGCTCGGTGCCAGGGCTTTGGGGATGTGCTCCATGGTGACAGCGGTGGGGGAGATCCTCATGGAGAGCTGGATCACGAGGAAACCTTTGGAGCCCCTGAAGGCCCAGCAGTTTCCTGGATGGACGTCAGGCTGCAGAAAACAAGGGATTAATAATCTGACAGATTATGACCTGGGATGGAGGAGCAGGAGGTACCTGGATCACAGCTCGAGGAGACTGAGAGAAATACCAGAGGGGAACTCCGAACAGGCTGAGCAGGGAGGCCTTCGTCTCGTACGTCTCTGAGCAACGAGTGCCGAGGACACTGCCCCCTGCAAGACCAGAACCAAACACATGGACCAGGTCCTGAAAATGAATCCAACTTCGAGCAGACGGGACTCAGAGGAAACAATTAGACCAAAGGTTCTGACCTCCAGACTCAAGAGCGTAATCTGCCAAACCGATCCGGTCCTGAGCAAACAGCCGCAGAGCGTCCGTCACCATTCCCCGGACGTCCTGAAAACACAAAAATCTGCTTTAAACAGTTCACGGAGGAGCAGCACATCTGACAGACTGCGGGACCGTCTGCAGAGTTCAGAGTCCCGGGACCCTATAACAACCCGGACCTGAGCTCATCTGGGGAACCCATCACTGGAGAGTATCCTGATGCTGCTCAATAATCCAGGTAGAAAAATCTAAAAAAAAGTTACATCTGGTCCTCTGGACGTCCTTTTCAGGGACACCACCAAGTCATCATTAAACAGGGGCGGAGCCTCCGGGTTCAACTGTCCCCCTCTTACAATGCTGTGATTGCTAGTATCACTCAGCCCTCTGTGAACAGTAAACAGCCATCAGGTGCTAATGATCCATTGTTAGGCTGATGGTCCTTCTTGAGCATGTGATCAGCTGGTTCTGGTTGTCAGCAGCAAACTGGTTGATCCACTCTGAGAAGGTGCTATTTAAGAGACTGAGCTGAATACAGCTCCTCAGACTGAGGAAGTCCTCAGGATGAGAGACGAAACGTTTCTATATTTTTTGTTTCCTTCGTTTTGTTTTTGGAATGTCCAGAGGACCAGACTGAACTTTTTTAGACATCACTGGAGAAGTTTACAAAAAAGGTCAGGCACTGGGACCATGCAGCAGTTGACTCCTCCCCCTCCTCTCACCTCGTGAGTCACAGAGTCTCCAGCAGCGTGCAGGACCTCCTCCTGACCCGTCTCCTTGTGGCGCTGCAGCGTCCTGCTGACGTTCTGCAGGATGCTGAGCTCCAAAGCGGACAGCGCCTCGTGCAGGCTGGCACCAGTGACAAAGCGCTCAGACAGCCACCGCAACAGAGACTCGGGGAGGGGGGCGGAGTCTCCCCTCATGGTCAGCTGGTTACCCAACATCAGAGCCTGGACTTCCTCTTGGACCAGAACTGAAACCTGAGGGAGAGGTTCAGTTCACTTCCTGATGCTTTTTCACAATAAAGGTTCTACATAAAAACTTATTGTGAAGTTCCTCTCAGCGTCACCAACATCCTGATAGAAAACAGAAGTTCTGACCATCTGTTGGACTCTGTCCAGTCCGCTTCGACACTCTGACAGAGCCTGAACGTCCCGCTTCATGTCCCCCAGAGCTGCCTCCAACCGTAGAACCTCCGCCTGCAAAGCATCATGGGATGTTCTGTCCACACCAGCGCTACAGGACAGCAGTCCAACATGTGAGAAACACGGCCTAAAGACAGAAATGTTCTTCATCCAGGTAAACATGATGAAGAGGAGAAGATACCTGGCAGCAGCTGGGAGAGACGCTGCTGAAGGTTCTGGTGTCCACTGGACCTCCTGCAGGACAACACGCAGGGTTACCGGCACAGACAACCTGGTTAAACCAGGACCAGATCACATGACTGACCTGAGTTCTGGCAGCCAAACTCTGCAACTGCAGCTCCAGATGATCCAAACGGGTCGTCTGAGTGCTCAGCAGCAGCAGGTCCTGCTGGCGGACCTTGACACAGGAACAAAGTCAGGTTCAGATTCTGGTTAGAGACAGAGCTCACGTTTGCGGGGCGGAGCTTGTCACCTGCTCCCTCTGTCTCTTCTCGTCATCCAGGTGTGCTCGGAGCTCAAAGAGCTGTCGGTCCAGCAGATCTCTGATCCACTGTTCCGCGTCGTCATTGCTGCTCTCAAACAAAGATGGCCGCCGCTGATGGAGGTCAGTAAAGAGCTGGAGCACCTCCCTGTGTCTCCGCTCCACCCGCCGTCCCGCAGACTCCACCCGCTCCCACAGAACCAGCAGGCTCTTCTCCACCTGAACCAGGTGATCAGGTTCTATGGCCGGCGTCGGCTCCTGGACTGCAAGAACCCCCTGACAATCAACCTGCTGAGGGTCAGAACACCGAGTGAAGAACAGGAGAACTTTGAAACAAGAACCACAACAATCCTGACAAGCAGCAGCAGCTTACCTGAGCAGCAGGTGGATCAGCAGCTGCAGGTTGGCTTTTCTCCTCCTCCTCCTCCTCCTCCCCCGATTGGCTCAGAGGGGACAGGAAGCCGTCCACAGAGGACAGACCCGGGACATGGTCCACAGCTGTGAGGTTGACGTCTGTGAGGACGGAGCTGATCCAGCACAGACCTGAAGGAGGAGGACAGAACCAAAGAAGCTCCTGAGCAACGAGTGAAAACTTTCTGACAAAAAGTTTATAAAATATAATCCTGGATTCTGAGTTAATTTGAGATTGATTAATCTGAGACTCACTGAGGAGGAGGAGCAGAGGGAGGAGAACGATGAAGAGTCTGAGGAGGAACCTGCAGAGAAACCAGATTATTTTGATTTATTTGATTTTAAATCAAGTTAAAGTTTGTTTAAAATCCCTGAACTCACCTGTTCAGGTGTGAGCTGGAGGTCATGTGACTCCAACGCTTGTAGATCCACCTGAAAGCGTGAGCTGCAGACCCACCTGAGGACAGAACCAGACCAGGATCAGCTCCTCAACTGATCAGTCCCTCAGGTCGAACTAACGTAACCAGTTATACTGACAGAGTCGAGAGGTAGAACATTTCTAACGCCCCAGATCAGAGCTGCTCAGAAACACTCCACAACAAACAGGAAGTCCCAACGACAAAACGGGAAGTCCCAACGACAAAACGGAAAGTCCCAACGACAAAACGGAAAGTCCCAACGACAAAACGGAAAGTCCCAACGACAAAACGGGAAGTCCCAACGACAAAACGGGAAGTCCCAACGACAAAACGGGAAGTCCCAACGACAAAACGGGAAGTCCCAACGACAAAACGGGAAGTCCCAACGACAAAACGGAAAGTCCCAACGACAAAACGGGAAGTCCCAACGACAAAACGGGAAGTCAGAATAATAAAGGCGCAAACTTCTGCATCTGAAACAAATGACCCAGAAACAGACAGGACAGATTACCAGATTCCTTACAAGAACACAGCAGAACCAGAACACAACCAGAGCCTTTCAGACTCCTCTACAAACAACAGAACTCAACTACAGACAAAACCAGCCCAGATCCATCCAGGACCAAGGATACTTCCATCAGAACAAGGACAGAGATGTTAACCAGCAGCGGAACACACACACAGACACATGCAACAAACAAGAGGGACCACGCCGACACACACAGACCATGCCCACATGGCCAACCTTTAAGGGAACAAACAGGAGGACACTCGGGGACATGGTGGTCCATCACTGGGCTGAGACAGTTGGAGACAAGTTGTCATCAGAGTCCTGTAAATGTCCCAGAACCTTCTTGAGGGTTCTTAGCGTCGACAGACATGGTGGATGTCCTGTCATGTCTCGGGAGTGGTCCAACAGAACTTCCATAGATACAGTCCCAGTTGTCGGACCACTCTGATGAGAAATAAAAACTGCCCGTCTTCATTTCTAGAGTGGTCCAACATGGACAGAATAATGTACATGGACAACGGGACAGCTTTACCGACCGTCATAAAAATACTCGAGATCATCTAATCATGGTTCCACTAACAATGTCAGGATCCAGTGAGAGACAAGAAAAAGTCTGTTCTGTCAGTTTTAGGTCTCCAACAGCAGCAGCCCAGTGAGACGCTGCGTTAGAATGGGGACAGACGGACACAAGGACGAACACAAGGATGGTGTGTGTGGGGGGACAAACACGACGAGTTTGACCTGCAGAACATCCGGTTCTCAGCATGGAACAGAGAAGGGTCTTTGTGAGAGGAGGCAGAGATACAGCTGCTCTCAGACAGAACCGAAGGAGGCACGAAGCTGAAGGAGCAAAGGACAGTCAGAGATGTCTTGGCTGAGGGACACAGGTGTCTCGTCTGAAGGTCAGATCTGGTTTGAAGGTTCAAGAGCACCTTCCCTCTGTAGTTGGACTGAGGATCTGGTTTTTCGGGACATACCAAGGGCTGGCCAAGACCTGAACATTACTTTCTTCAGCACCCCCATGAGGATCCAGGAAGTACCGAGTCCATCAGAGGGCAGACACTGAAGTACCACATTATTGTTGTGGTGATCGTGGGGGGGTCTGACTGATAATGGGACAGAAGTTTTATCCATCCATCCATCCATTTTCCTCCGCTTATCTGGGGTCGGGTCACAGGGGTAGTAGCCTAAGTATGGAGGCCCAGACTTTCCTCTCCCCAGCCATTTGGGCCAGCTCCTTCAGGAGAATCCCAAGGCATTCCCAGGCCAGCCGAGAAACAGTCCCTCCAGCATGTCCTGGGTCTTCCTCTGGGTCTCCTCCCAGTGGGACGTGCCCTAAATACCTCACCAGGGAGGCGTCCAGGAGGCATCCTAACTAGATGCCTGAGCCACCTCAACTGGCTCCTCTCAATGTGGAGAAGCAGCGGCTCTACTACGAGTCCTTCCCGGATGATGGAGCTTCTCACCCTATCTCTAAGGGAAAGCCCAGACACCCTGCGGAGAAAACTCATTTCAACCGCTTGTATCCAAGATCTCGTTCTTTCGGTCACAAACCAAAGCTCATGACCGATAGATGAGGATAGGAACGTAGATCGACCGGTAAATTCAACGCTGCACCTATCCGCCTATCGATCTCACGTTCCATTTTTCTCTCATTCGTGAACAACAATGGTCCGTCCATAACCGTGGCTGAAGTTGCCGAGGTGGTTAAAAAGCTCCCAGGCAGCAGGGCTCCGGGTGTGGATAAGACCCACCCCGATTTCCTTAAGGCTCTGGATGTTGTGGGGCTGTCTTGGTTTACACGCCTTTGCAACATCATGTGGACATTAGGGGCAGTGCCACTGGATTGGCAGACTGGCGTGGTGGTTACCCTCTTCAAAAAGGGGGACCGGAGGGTGTGCTCCAATTATAGAGGCATCACTCTCCTTAGCCTCCCTGGTAAGGTCTATTCAGGGGTACTGGAGAAGCAAGTCCGATCGTTGGTTGAACCTCAGATCTAGGAGGAACAATTTGGCTTATGTCCTGGCCGTGGAACACTGGACCAGCTCTTTACCCTCCCTAGGATCCTGGAAGGGTCATGGGAGTTTGCCCATCCAGTCTACATGTGTGTTGTAGACTTGGAGAAGGCATTCAACAGTGTTCCTCGGGGTACACTGTGTGGGGTGCTATGCGAGTATGGGATTGGGGGCTCATTGTTAAGGGCTGTTCGGTCCCTATACAAGCGGTGCAAGAGTTTGGTTCTCATTGCCGGTAGTAAGTCGGACCCTTCGGGGTGGGAGTTGGACTCCTCCAGGGCTACCCGTTGTCAAGAATTCTGTTCAAAACTTTTATGGACAGAATTTCTCGGTGCAGCCAGGGGGTGGAGGGATTCTGGTTTGGTGGTCTCAGGATTTCATCTCTGCTCTTTGCAGATGATGTGGTCCTGTTGGCGTCATTGTGCCGTGATCTTCAGCTCTCACTGGAGCAGTTCTCAGCTGAGTGTGAAGCAGCTGGGATGAGAATCAGCACCTCCAAATCTGAGGCCATGGTCCTCAGACTGATTGTTCTCTTCAGGTCCAGGGTGAGGTTCTGCCTCAAGTGGAGGAGTTCAAGTATCTCGGGGTTTTGTTCACAAGTGAGATTGACAGAGATTGGTGCAGCGTCTGTAATATTGTGGATTCTGTGCCAGTCTGCTGCGGTGAAGAGAGAGCTGAGCTGTAAGACAAAGCTCTCTGTTTACTGGTCGGTCTATGTTCCTCACCTCTGGTCATGAACTCTGGGTAGAGACTGAAAGAATGAGATCGTGGATCCAGGAGGTTGAAATGAGTTTCCTCTGCAGGAGCTGGACTCTCCCTTAGAGACAGGGTGAGAAGTTCAGTTATCAGGAGAGACTCAGAACCTCTGCTCCTCCATGTCGAGAGGAGCCAGTTGAGGTGGTTCAGGCATCTGGTGAGGATGCTCCCTGGGCACCTCCCTAGGGAGGTGCTTCGGGCATGTTTGACTGGGAGGAGACCCCGGGGAAAACCCAGGACACGGAGAGACTACGTCTCTCTGTTGGTCTGGGAACACCTTGGAGTCCTCCCAGAAGAGTTGGAAGTGGTGGATGATGGATGGATTAAAGTGAGAATGATCTGCATTTGGACTGGATCAGAACCAGACCTGAACCTTCATCGTGTCCTCCTACAAGCAGCTAAAACATTTCATGTTTGTCTCAGCAGCTCAATAAAAGCTACACAAGTTGAACTTTAGTTCATATTCAGACCAGCGTGTGTTGATGGAACAGAGAACCTGTGAAAACTGCAGCGCTGCAAACCAACGCCAACAAACAGGAAGCTGCAGACCACCAGGACCAGGAGGAGGAGGAGGAGGAGGAGAAGAGCTGCTTCTCCTTACAGTCGTCACCTGATGACCTCAACGTAAAGAAAGAAAATCATTCATCAGATTCAGACTGACCAGAACATTTGCCTCCACCAATGGACCGGGTCGTTTCAGACAGCAGCTCCCATTTTGAGGCTCAATGGGATTTACCCGTCTAAATAAATGTTGAATGAATTTGACGTTAAGGTTCTGACCAGTCACAGCGGTTCTGGAGGAACCACAGTCAGGTCCTTTACGTTGGTTTTTATATTTCAGGGTTGTTTCATCAGAAATGTGGTTCTGATCTGTAGGGGGTGTGCTAGAGACTCCAGAACCAGAGGTCCATTTCAGTCCCAGCTGGGTTCTGACTAGCGGTTAGCTCGTTGGTTTGTCAGATTTAAACCGTTTCTCTACACAGAGGGCCACCTACAGGTCCTTCTCAAAAAATGAGCATATTGTGATAAAGGTCATTATTTTCCATAATGTAATGATAAAAATGAAACTTTCATATATTTCAGATTCATTGCACACCAACTGAAATATTTCAGGTCTTTAATTGTTTTAATACTGATGATTATGGCATACAGCTCATGAAAACCCAAAATGCCTGTCCCAAAAAATGAGCATATCATGAAAAGGTTCTCTAAACAACTATTAACCTAACCATCTGAATCAACGACGTAACTCTAAACACCTGCAAAAGATTCCTGAGGCTTTTAAAAACTCCCAGCCTTGTTCATTACTCAAAACCACAATCATGGGTAAGACTGCCGACCTGACTGCTGTCCAGAAGGCCATCATTGACACCCTCA